GAAGAATCGAGAGAGCTAATAATTGTGGAAAGCAAGGGGAGTGACATGCATTAAAGCGTGGCTAATATGCTTCTTGGACAGAGACTGATAACGAAACACTAAGAATGGAAGCTTGGAAAGAGACCAATTCAGCTGGCATCTCGGCTTTGTTTTGTCCATTATATTTTCTTCTGTTATATTCTTAGCCCTCCGTTAATAAAGGCATCGAAGAGCTAACCATGTGGTTTGACGTTATTTCTTGTGCAAGCTTACACGTTAGTTGACTACAGAGTAAATGATCCCTCAAGGGATATTGTAGTGGTTTAAATGGTCAACAGTAGAAATACACAGTAATCAAAGTCAGATGACACGCCATGGAAAATAATGTAGAGTCAGCTAGTCGTTATTTTAAAAAGAAACACTGACCGAGCGATACAAACATCCAACGCAGATGGTACTTGATTATGTATTTTAGCTCTCATACAAAAAAATATTTGGCAGAATGCCACAATTTACCAATCAGAACCAAAGCTTGTAATAAGTGTGATTGAGTGCTTTTCTATATTTTCTTTCTCTACAGGTGATTTGGTGGTAAAGGCCTTGTGTAAGTTGCAGGATATGAAGCAGTCTTTGACTGTGTTTGAGAAGTATCAAGGAACATATCTGCTTCTCGTTCATCCCAACGAACAGGTAATTCTGTCAAAAAGCCATTTCATGTTAAGCTGGTCCTTTTTTGGTAATTAATTGTCCTTATTCTACCTTTCCACTTCAGGTGCGCCGTTGGGCAATCGATACAGCAAAGACCATGAAGAGTGTGGACCGGGACACCTACTATGACCTTAAAGAGATTTTCTTTTGCATGTTTTATATCATTGAGCTTGGAATATCTTTGGACTTTCCAGATTTGGAGCCAGAGTCTTATGCAGGGGGCGTTGTACAAATGCTGCCTTCTCACCTCTATGACTCGCAAAATAAGAAGAACTACTGGCTAGGTCTGTTTATTAGTTTTCTCCAAATCCTCTTTTCATAGTGGCCTTTTGTTACTAAACTTTTACAATTTGAGATTTTGGTTTTTCTCACTCTAGCTAGACAGCAGTCTTTCCTGTTAAGTTTCTGTTCTTCTGTTTGACACCGATTTCATCCTGCGGTTAACTCTTTCCCTGTCAGCATTTTTTGTTGTTGTGTTTTTTTTTTTTTT